TGTTTTGATAGTGATATATGTTTTATTGTGATAGGTAAGATGCTGAATTACACATCTTTCTACAGGTGTCTGATAAAATTGTTTGACGTTCTTATAAATCGTTCATGATGTCCATAGAACCTATCTCATTATACAAATTACATATGTAGACATTTATTATAACACGCATTTCTCAGTTTGACAGCACTAATGGTATTTGTATTCCATCTTAATAATAATGTCACTAAATATACAAACATTTTGGCCAAGACTACGTGCTATGGGTACATATTATTATACGAGTGACTTCTTTATAGAATCAAACTATTTCAGTAATGTAATTTCAATGTACAATATATAAAATGTTAGTTAGTTTGTTGTTAAGTGCAAAACTGCACAATGGACTACCTGTGCTGTGCCCTCTGTAGAGATTGAATCCTGAATAAACATTACAAGCCCTCACGGTTACCACTGAGCCACTCCAGGAGAGCATGAACTGTTAGATCACCTCTGACAAACTACATGGATCTTCTTTGGACATCTTAAGACATAAATCTGATTTCAGCTCATGAGATTATGATTAAACTAATTTGTTGAATAAAAACTCTAAGAAATACATGGTATTATTTTACCAGGGATACGAGGTATATAGGAATACGTTATGGTATTTGAAAAATTTTAGCGTAATTATAATCAAAGTACTCTTTAGATGACATGTTTGAGTCGCGCAACATTATTGAGGTTGAAACCCAGCAGAATTTAAGAAATCAAAACATTTTACATCAATAAACAATCCGTTTCGTTTACGTAAATACTTCATTCCTGTTTTGTGTTGTTGTTTTTTCCAGCGATATTGACGTCAACCATTTTCTAAATCTCGTTCTGACCTTTTTTTTCTATATTGTAGAACCAGAATGCGAATAACGTAGCAGTTTATCACGTTTCTAGTATGGTGTCATGAAAATCACACAGATAAAAAATATAATAATTACACACAGTCTATTCGGAATATTTTCCGAAAGTGTTATTACGGCTCATGCACGTGGTGAAACCGCTGATAACGCCCACGGGCTATGCGAAAATGGCATGATCCCGGAAGCAAGAGGGTTCTGTTTTCCATCTCTCTCTTAAAGTTGACATTCGGCGTGCGAAGTTCTTTATTAAACGAACATTTCATTTTGATATAAGATTTAAAAATTAAAGATGTTTGTATGTTTACATTTGAAGTCGATCATAGATGGTTTCAGTTATTTATTGAACTGCCTCTAACATGATAATAGGATATTTCAAACTCTTCAACGTAAATTAAGACCGTTAATAGTTTTTATTAAAGAATGGACAACATACTCATTGACCTTATCATGTTTTCAAACCTCACATACCGAACTCGGAGTCGGTTTTATGTCATTTTCTCTTCTTCTTTTTTTCCGAAAACATAAGTGTAAGTCTCCAATCTTCAAAAACCCACTTCTTTGCTTTTATGTCAACTGTACTCTCATATATATATACGTCAATGTATTTATTTTTATGTATAAGTCTCTTTTATGCAAGCTCGTTAATAACGTACAACAACCCCACTCCTACAGCTACATTAGTGTCAATCAGTTAATTAATATTTGCACACGTTATATTCCCCATGTTCGTTAAGTCTGCGAGACTAGTAAGATCGGTTTGACCTTGGCACACTGCACCATCCAAATTAGTGTGATATAAATACGTAGCACGTCGCTTGAGGTGATTACCTACCTCTCTAGGCCTGTCCGAAGCCACAAAACTCTTCTTTTCTCCATCGACTGTAGTATCATACATAGCCGCCAGGATTTCTTTTTTGATGTCGCTCTGAGGAGGTACAGTTTCTGGATCCTGAAAGAACCCATATAACATGTAATAGGAACAACAGAGCAAACCGTAATTTACAAAATTTACTGTATTGTTTTCAATTAGTTAGTACAGTAACAACTTTTGGAACGGTATAGTAGCGTTTCTGTAACATCCTTGTATTATAATGTTTTAATTGGTTGTAACTAAGGGGTGGGGGTATTGATGTAGATGAAGTTCACCTAAAAGTCATAGGAACGCAGTCTTCTTGACAACCGAGCTACAACACAGTGCAAACTTTACGAGTCAAGCACCCTAACTACCTGACCATGTCAGGCTCATCTACAACAGGTAAAAAAAAGTAAAAAATGAGGTATTCCTCACTTCCAACTAAAACCCGCGGTTATGGATTTTAATATTCTTTTCAATAGGTATTATACTTAATAACATAAATCAAACTAGAAATAATTTTTTTACTGTTATACATTTGCATTAATATGTTTTACTAAACTTTATTAGGCTTATCAATTACGATCAAAATATTTAAACAATTACAACTGTAAACTATAATTAATGATTCTTAAAATAATTTAACAATCAATGCGATATGTCATTGGTGTGATGATCCCCTTACACACTGAGGAATTTTTTCAGTTGCTTTGGTATATGGTTATTCGTAATTGTCCATAACAAACACTACATTTAAGTTGTATTTGATATTCTCAACATGAAGGTGAAATAAATTTTGCATAGGGCATATTAACTGTGGCCTAAGTAACTAAGATACAGTGAAATTATTCAGGTCGTCTCGCAACAAAATCAGCTCGATTTGTTTGTTTGTAATTAAGCACAAAGCTACACATTTGGCTATCTGTGCTCTGCCCACCACGGGTATCGAAACCCGGTTTCTAGAGTTGTAACTCCCCTGACCTTCCG